TTTTTTTGAGTTTTTACCCTATTCTGTTCCAAGGGCATTTCGAGTTTCTCAAAATGCGTTTTTTTTTTAATTTTCGCCCGCGTTGCTGAGTAGAAAACTCGATTTCAGGGAGAGGGGGGGTTTCTTTTTTGTGTTTTTCCCGAAAACGTCATCTTGGCCCTCAAAAATCCATATTTTTCCAGAAAATCCTTGTTGCCAGGTTTTGCAGATTTTTAGCACAAATGTACTTGGTACTATTCATCGACTTTTTTTTGAAAATCGTCTCGACCGATCCGAAACTTCCGAGGGTCTTGTGGGTGTATTTTAACTTTACATTTTCAATTTAGGCAATTTAAAAACCTCCTGAAGCCCTATTTCCTTTCCTTGGGCAGTAGCTCGGAGTAATTTTTACCCCTTTGACCTGATTTTCTTGGGGGCATTCTGGAAATTTTACAATGCATTTTTTTTTGTTTCGGTTTGCGTGTCGAGGTAGGAAGCTTGATTTTATGGGGGGTTTCTTCTTTGAGTTTTTCCAGAAAAGTCCGTTTAGATGCCCGTTTTTACTCTCAATTGTAGCAGTAGTGGGCTGTCCTCGTCGAGCCGACACGACATCATTTTTGTTTTTGACCTTTTTCCTTCGTCTGGACTCCGAATAATGCAACTCTTGAGTCCATTATAATTAGTTTTTCATTGTCTTCCCAGCGGTGTGCTCGATAACACCTGAATCCATTTTTTTACAAAATGACCATTTTGTCCCTAGGTTCATTTTTGTCCGTTTTGAAACGACACTTCCGCATTTGTTTTCCTTTGGGTTCCATGACCTCATTGAGGGTCACATTGGTGTCTTAGAGACTCATTGTATCTCTAAAGACCGTTGTTTCACCTTTCGCTTCCGTATTTCGGATCCGTTATCGGGTCATCTTTTGGTCATCATTGACGTACCGGGTTTACAAAACTTGGGCCGTTACATATATCTAAGCAGGTGAAGGCGCATCATCCTCTGTGTCACTTCAAGACCTGAAAATGTTTAAGGTAAAGAGGTGAACACCACCACTCAGTAGAGTATGTCTTAAGGCATGACTCTTAAAGTCCCGTGAATAAACACATATAAAAGAGGGAGAGCAAGGTAAGAGGATCATGCTTTTACGGGAAAAATAATGGTATCAACAATACATGGCATTAGCAACAACATATAAGTATCAACTTAACCACATTCACACACACTAGTCCACCACAAAACTAACAATACAATTAATGTTTATACCATGAATCCACCCCGAACCAATCCCATGATCTCATCCTACACACAATAACATTTTCCTAACTAGTCCATCTCACTACACAAATCCACGCTAGAGGTCTCTAACTCCAAATGGAACAAGTTTACCGTTTGTCCACTATTTGGAACACCAACTAGCTATCCCTGGTTTGAGACCACCGTTCATCCAACCATTTGGGGCATATGTACCGAAATCTTGGAAATAATACTACCGCTTGTCTTCCGTCTATTACAACTTGGATTAACCTTAATCAATCCACATGCAATCATATCTTTTGTTACTAACTGAGACTTGACTTTGGTCTTTCCTCTTTCCCTACTATTATTCTCAATGTGGATTATGTTAATAAAACAAAAAAAGAATAAGAGCCTAATTACTAAAATAAGATGGTTTAAAAAATCAGATAAATTTGAATTTGACTCTACCATTAACAAAAAAATTCAATTTTGGTTATATTCATTTCACTGAAAAACATGATAAAAACACCTTCACCAACATCATATGCAAACTTGATGAATATTGATCATTGGATCGAATTTGATCGGGTCTTTATGGATTGATTCTTTGAATTGCAATTTAAGTTCCTATATATTTGTCATGTACGCTAGTTGAAAATTTTCTTTTATAATGTTCAATGTGTCCTGAAATAAATTTTTGGCTTTGTCCCCGGATGGTTCACTCGAATTTTAAAGTGAACCAAATCATCTTTAATTATTACATTCTTTACACAAATAATTCCGCGGATTTGATGATCGCTTGTATGAATCTAGATTAATGCTCTATTTGGTATAAAGGAAGGAGATTGGATGAAAAGAAGAGAAGAAATTATGAATGAAATATCTCAGAAATATTGTGCTGGTTGAATAGAACTTGGAAGAAAGAAAAAGGAGATAACATTTACTTTGTTTGATAGGAGAGAAATAAAGAGAGAATATTAATTTATTTTTACCATTATATCCATAACTATTTATACTACTAGCCTTCATTATATTATATGCATGGTTCTAATTGGTACATGGATGTTAACATTGATTGTCTATTGTCCCCTCTGTTTTTTAATAAGGAAAATCATATTTTTTCATGACAAAAAAAAAATAAATAAATATTGGAATGAAAATAAAATGTAGCTCACTTATTAATTTGGATATCTAATAATTATGAAAAGTAATATTGTAATTTAACTTTTTTATAATAGTCTTGCTTTTCATCTTTCCTCTCTTTTCTCCTCCACTTTTATAGTTTGTCTATTACTTCCTATCTTCTCTTCGCCTCTCCTCCTCCTTTCCTACAAACCAGAAATGTTAATAGGCCTTGCCCATGTTCCGGTAAACCCAATAACGAAAATAAATCATTGAATTTTTATATTGTTTTGTATGCCCCTGAAATAAATTTCTGCTGTGTCCCTAACTGGTTCACACAAATTTTAGAGTGAACCAAATCCTCTTTCATTATTACACTCTTTACGTAAAAATTCCTCAGATTTGATGATATCTCTTGTATGAATCCAGATTAAAGGATGGGGCCTTACCGGTGTTCTTGTAAACCCAACAGTAAATATAACTACAAGAATATTTTTTGTACATAACCAATGTTCATGTGGAAATTGTGAAACTTGAACAATTAATTTTTCGTCAATTTGGAGGTGTGAGAAAGCTGAACTTAGAAGTTCTATGTATTATTATGATATTCCTACAATAACATTAGTTTTTAAGTTTCAATTAATAATTTGCATCTTGTTCTTATTCACATAAAAGAAAATGTTGATTGTTTCATTATTTACATTCATTAAATTCGTATACTCTTCTAATCCGTCACCCACCTTTGCCCTGTTAATAAATAATTTGCATCTTGTTTTTCTTGAATTATGCATCAATGCATAGTATCAAGCCAACAGAGGATTGAGAAGGCAATCAAAACATAGGATTGAGAAGGCAATCAAGGAAAGAAGTTTTAATGCACGTTGTTCTGAAAGTACATACTTATTTTGTAACATTAGTCAGTCCAATAAAGAGTCTTGTTAAAATAGGATCCTAAAAATAGAATTTATGTCCTTGGTAAAATGTTTATTTTAATAATTGGGACATCAGTCAAACACTTCCCAACCTCACATTTCAAAATCCTTTTTTTAAGGATGTGATAGAATCAAAGCTTTCCATGTCTCTCCACTATAAATTCAAACGGTACACCTACTACTACCTTAACATCGGTCAACAACAGTTCTAATTTTTAATCACTAAGCATGTCAAAAGTTAGAGCTGTCTTCTTCCTCATAGTAGTGGTTACAGGCTTAGGCTCGCTCTTGCTCGGTCATGTGACAGATGCAACAGAAATTAGTTATGGTGCCTTGAGTCGTAACCAGCCTTCTCCACGCAACAAACAACCACAATCAGCAACAAATTCCTACACTAGAGGCTGTGAGAATGTTGAACGTTGTCGAGGTTGATCTCATCTTCTCCACCCAAAATCTGAACAAAAATTCTATAAATCGATACAACTTCAATTGTTCAGGATCGACCAATTAGAAACATGAGTAATGCTACAAGCAACTATTGTGTTTTTGTAATTATACTATAATTATTAATGTCCAACCAGGGCTACAGGACCTTGTCATAATCTCTATTTTCATTTGGTACGTGTTTATCATTCCAATGGAGGATACTGTATAAACTAACGAGACAAACTTTTCTGTGTAGACTCCAATTAATAATGTTCAACATGGATTCTTGTCATAATTAAATAGAATCTCTGTTCATATGGTGTGTAGTGGGACCATGCCCCCACACATAAACCAAAGTTTGAAGGATGTGCAGAAAGCTCAAATCATCTAAAAAAAGTGTAACGTGCCGGATGTTTTGGGATTGATTAAAAACTTTAAAGCTCGTAATAACACACAATTCATATATATATATATACCTAATCACTTTTTAATATCAACTATAACGGACAGGTGGCTAACCTAAGAAACTAGAAGTCAGAGGAAACGGGAAGTGGTATTTTTTTAAGAGAGAAAAGATGGTACGGTTCTCTGAATTGCATCAATCACCTTTCAATTTGTATCCTCCCCTCAGTAGCTGAAGCTTGAACCGTACGTCGGTGAAGCCATCTTCTCAATTGCTTCAAAGGGGTTATTATTCAGTAATTTTTGAGGGTAACTGCAAACTAGTCATGGCCCTATCTCCATCCGAGGAAGCCATTTCTGTTATATTATGGATGACACACTCCATCGCGCTCCACTCTCTTGATCTTGATCTCAGCTTTTCTGTTCAATGGATCCCTCGTGCATGCATGCAACAAAGTTGTTCATGAAGTGAGCAGAGCGCCTCTCCAAGCCCGCGTCCAGAGCCTTTCTTGTTGATGGGTGCTCTGTTTCCTAGTTTTCCTTTGGCCTGTGTCTGTACCTTTTGAAATAATAATAATAAATCCTCCTAAATAAAACCTGAGATTTCTATTATTTTTCTAAATTAATCAATGGTTTGGGATGACGTGGGTATTCCAACCTCACCTCTTTTTTTAATTTAGAATGTGATCAATTAAAGCTTTCCATTTGTGTGCTGGAATGAATGAGCTCTTTAACTGTCCTTTCACAAATCATGCCCTAATTTAGGAAGAAACTCTCTCTATAAATTCAAATGAGCACATATGGCATTACAGGCACAACAATTAACAACAACAACATCATAAGATATAATTTGAATGACAAGAATGTCCAAAGTAGGCACAGGTGTTTTCTTCCTCGTAGTGATGGTGACAGTCATAGGCTTGCTCTTGCTGAATCATGTGACAGATGCAACGGAAATTGGTTATGGTGCAATGAGTCGTAATCAGCCTTCTTCACGCAACAAACAACCACAACCAGCTAATTCGTACACCAGAGGCTGTGAGAGAGCTGAAGATTGTCGAAACGAATTACCTCCACCCTAGACCTATACAAAATTCCTAGCATAGATATAATAAATCTTCCCCTTGGTTACAATGACTGTTTTTTTTTTTTTTTTCAATACTTACAAAATGTTCTTCAGATAATCAGATTTATATATATATATATATTAGCCTCCGCAAACCTTAACCTTCCCCTTCAACACAGTTGATCCGGCTAGTCACTTCGCATCAGAGCTTGACCACGTCGTTGCGGTGAACTACAGTTGGGGGAAAAGTGGACAGAGGTATGACTTCCTCTTCTATTTCCTTATCCCACTCCTACCCCTCCATCCACCATCCCAACCCACTCCGTTCCATCTATGAAGTACTATAAGCTTTCATGGCAAGTCCAAGTATACCAACCAAGTTCAGACCGCGGCGACGATTTGGGTTAGAGAGAATAACCAATCTAGGGTTTCCACCTTATTTCACACCCTGGCCTAAGCCTAAACTGAACTTCCTTTGAATGAAACCCATTAAAGTCCCTCCCACCCTGATTGTTGAGCATTGAAACTTGTTTGTGGAGAATTTTTGTGATTAATTTGGGGAAGGTTTGGGTCAGTGTAGGAGTAAATTAAAGGGTAATTTACACAGACCTCCCTTATGGTTTGTCATAATTATAGGCGACACCCTTCTTGTTCCGAAAATTACACGGACCTCCCCTTTTTTAAAAATATCCTACACGGACCTCGCTTCTATTAGAGTCAACGGCAGTCAACAACGGAAATGATGACGTCATCTACCAATTTTAGTAAAATTCCTAAAATACCCTTGTCCCTACCAATTGATATATATATGTATATATATATATATATATATATATATATATTATATGTGTATGCCACCTATGTGTATGATATTATATATGTATGCCACCTTCTTTGAGTTGATTCTTTGTAGTTTTTAAGTATAAGAATGGATCAGACTTTGTTCTAGTTGTGAAGAAAGATGATTATGACAAGTGCAACACAGAGAAGCTGATCATGAAGATGGACGATGGTGATTCAGTCTTCAAGTTTGATCGGTCGGGTCCATTCTTCTTCATCAGTGGAAACAAAGATAACTGCCAAAAGGGATAAGCTCATCGTTGTTGTTTTGGCAGTCAGAAACCATCACAAGTCTCCCCCGGTGGCCATACCTCCGGCGCCGATGGGCAGGACTCCAGCATCGTTACCATTACCAACAAAGTCCTCCCCTTCGTCGGCCCCAACCACAACACCCGTACTGTTACCATCTCTAATTTCTCACACTCCGCCGGCAACGTCACCCATCTCTCCATCTCTGGTGACTATGCCTCCGGTAAGTTCTCCGGTTCCAGCTATGACACCCAAATCGCCTTCTCCGGCGACCCACTCCCTGGTCCCGTCTCCAACCCCAGTTGTCTCATCGGCACCGTCAATTACACCAATAACCCCTTCTCTAGTGTATTCTCTGACAACCTCGCCTGCTGCTAGGGATGGCAATGGGGGCGAGTTTGGGCGGGTGTACCCTCCCCCGTCCCCACAACCATTTAAAAACCTCGCCCCTGTCCCCGCCCAAAATCGCAAAAATGGGGAAACTTTACACCCCATCCTCGTAACCGTTTAACATTTTTACTCCCGCGGGTACCCGTCCCGCCCCGTTTAAGACCAAAATTTATTTATTGTTGATATAGATTTGTTCTTTTTTTTTTTTTTTTTTTTTTTTTTTTTTTTCCCCTCATCTTCAATTTTATGCCATTGCAAATTTCCTTTTAATCAAATTCATTTGTTACTTTAATATTGTTGTTATATAGGATACTTAATATATAGTGAGAAATATATATACTAATGAAATAAGGGTACTTAAGTAATTTGCCTATCTAAACTGGGTAAGGCGGTGCGGGGCGACCTCCCCCTGCCCCCGCACTAAACCCGTGCGGGTTTTTATTACATCAAACCATCTCCGCCCAAATAAACAAAATGGTCCCCCAAAACCACCAAAAACAGTGCGGGGTGGGGCGGGTAACCGTGGGGGCGGGTCAAATTGCCATCCCTACCTGCTACAGCACCAATAGTTGTCTCACCGGCACCGTCAATTGCACCAGTAATTCATCATTTATTTCAGTTGGTGAGTATGTCAGATTGGGAGAATTTATCACATGCCATAGGTGAGTATGTCAGATTTCAAAAAGGTCATCATTGATTTAAATGTTTTTAATTGATCTTGGCTTTATCTGGCTGGAAAGTAGGACAACTACTTGCACGTTCTAATGAGTAATGCCATGTACTAAGGGTCTGATCTGAAATTAAGGTATTGATGAAAAACCCCTTACAAAAGTAGGCATGAGTGAGAGAGAATTTGAAACTTGATACTGGGGATTGGGATCCAGGGCTTGCGGACGGCGACAATTTTCTGACACCTTTTGAACTTAAAAGTCTATGTTTTTATCAAATTTTTTGACATCCTCCGGCCATTTGATCTTCAAATATTCTTCTTTTGAACTTCAATTTGCAACCTCTGCAAATCCTAGATCTGATGGATGCTACTATATACACACAACAATCCACCACGATACTTCTCCTCTCTCTCTCTCTCTCTCATGGATGCTCTCTATAGGCCACCAAATACAACCGATTTTCTTTCTGTTTTTTGCTTTAAGATACAGTTTTGAACTGATCTGCTTTAAGTTATAGTGCTAAACTAATCTTAACCTCAATGTTAGGTTTTACCCCTCATCCTGTTGGCCCACGGCGGTTCAATTTGGGCTAGATGAATTGTTTGCATTATGTGACAGAAGAAGAAATAGAGTTGTGATGGCGGATCGAGATCTCAGCCGAAGAACTCTTAGATCGCCTTTTTCCCCCTCTCTCTAAACGGACCTCCCTTATGTGTGACGGACCGTTTAATACACTAACGGAGCTGTCAAAATTACTGAAATGCCCTTAATTCCCCATGGTAAACGACTAAAGTCTAGAGAGAGAGGGAGAGGGGGTACTTTAGTCATTTACCATAGAGAATTAAGGGCATTTCAGTAATTTTGACAGCTCCATTAGTGTATTTAACGGTCCATCACACATAAGGGAGGTTCGTGTAAGACATTTTCAAAAGTAGGGGAGGTCCGCATAATTTCCGAAACAGGAGGGGTGCCGCCTGTAATTATGGCAAACCATAGGGGAGGTCTGTGTAAATTACCCTGAATTAAATTGTAATTGTATGTGTCATATATATATATATATATATATATATATATATATATATATAATAGAGAATGAAGAGATGAAAGAAGAGGTGGTGGTGGTGGTGGTGATGGTGGTAGTGGTGCTAAGAGGTGGTGGCAGCTTTATAGGTATGTGGTTGAGTTGAAGAGGTTATTTTGGACAATTTAGAATAAGTAAATTGGTAATTTTATAATTCAAAAGTGTCATTTGACAGGTCAAAGGGCATTTAAGTCATTTTATCATATGTTAGAGCATAAGAAGTAAATTGAAGGAGGTGTCATTGTTCAAAAAAGGCTAACTTGTATCTGGATTTTCTTATAACAAACCTCGTAATGTCATTGTACTGTACCTTTATTATTTTTATTTTTTTTTCACATGGCAATGTTAGCAGGGGAAGATGGGGTTGGGATTCTAACTTGGCATCTTGTCAAATTAGATATGGAGGGACATAACAATTACCATATTTGATTTGGTAATGAAAATGATTTGATAATAAAATTAAGTTATGTCTATCTAGTATTATTCCGTATCAATACATCCTCACTCAAGTATTGTCAAAAATAAATTCACAAATTTTTTAATGTATAATATAATTCACAAATTTTATAATGTTCAATATGTATAGAAATAAATTTCTGTTGTCCATCCAAACATTCTTTACGCTATATAATTCCTTGGTTTTGCTGATCTATTGCACGAAATTAAAGTATGTTACAACTTGTAACTAACAAGTATACACTATGTTTCTGTAAACCCAGTTATAACAATAAATCCACCACTTTTTGAAACATATAACCCATGTTTTTAAATGGATTGCTAAACTTGAGCAACTAATTTTTTTTTTTATGGGATGACTTGATAGCTCAGGAAATATTTTTGCCACAAAAAGTTCAACACCACTGTAGGTGCAGAATTTCGCTCAACCAATAATGATTAAGAAAAATTAAACAACTCACTCAATCAATAGTAAAAATAAATAAGAACAATATATGTCGAAGCGTAGAATTGCTTGATTGCTTTATTGGAGGGCTAAACCTCTATTTATATACAAAAGATTGTAAAATTATGGTAGGACTTGCGTTGCTTGTCCTCCAATTCTTTCTATATAAACATTCTTTACTAATAGAATTCTTTCCATTGTTTAATTTTCCATACATAGAACTTGCCTTGTACAGAACTTCCTATCTCAGAATTTTCCTTCTACGGTAAATCCTTCAACTGGTAGGACTTGTGCATTCTTGGATAACTGGGCCGAACATACTTTGATCCGGCTGGGCTTGAGTAACGGACCGGATGTTAAATATTAACAAGTTGGGCTGATGACCTCTTGATTCGGCCTTGATGGAGGTTGGAAGACAAATAACAATGGTCTTGGGCTAAAAATACACTCAATTTGGGCTTGAGCATGATGGACCTTATATGTCATTGGAATGTAGATATGTGTAGTGATGACGTGTACGCTTCTTATTGGAGGGAGTTTTTTTTCCCCCCACACTTTGCCCCAAATTTCATTTTTAATTGAATGAGGGCTCCCATTAAAGAGGGAATTGAAACCGGTTTTTTACTTTACTTCAGAGACGGTTCGAGGACTTTCATTATTACTCCATCGTACAAGATTCTGCAAGAGTTACATTCGCTCTAGCTGCACTCCTGCGTTCTTCATTCCATCGCCTTGTCAGGTTAGTTTTTTTTCGCATCTTTCTCTTCAATCTTTCATTATGAGTACTTCATCTACTCCCGAACGTATAGACATTGGGGATTCTGAATCCACACCTTCATCTTCCCCCGTTCGCATTAGGGTTCCCCCTCCTAGGGTTTCTACAGATCGTCTTTCATTGAATCAATTAGGTACTTCCCCCTTTCTGGCCGAGACATCCACCTCAGGCTCTGATAATGATCTTACTCATGAAGAGAGGAAAGCAATCATCTCTATTCGTCGCATCAAGTTCTCTATTGCTTCGGTAATGGAAGAATTTGATATTCCTGAGGGAATAGAAATTGTAGAATATCCCGAGGGTGCCGATTTTACCTCCGGCGAGGGATTGAAGAGAGTGAGTTGCTTTTTTCGGTAGGGCATCTTAGCGCCCTCCGGTTCCCTCTTCACCCCTTCTATCATTTAGTTTTCAACAAGTTAGGTCTTGCCTCCCTTCAGGTAAATCCTAATTTCTTTCGCATCCTTTCGGCACTGTTGGTGCGCCGAAAATTAGAGGCTCTGGATTTGACCTTTGCCGACCTTCTGCTTACTTATAATATATCTAAGCATGGGACCGAGCCTGGTCGCTTCTTTTTTACTTCTCCCCTTCATCAGAGGATATGCACAAACCTTCCTTCATCCGAGAAGAAGTGGAAAGAAAGGATGGTTATAGTTAAAGGAAAATGGTTCGTGCCCCAATCAATTACGCTCCCCATCCCGCGCAAGTTCGGGAAATTAGGTATAGAATACTTAACCTCCCTTCATACCAAGTGTTCTGGCTGTTTTCCTTGCCAAGTCTTAATGTTTCGCCGTACTTATGAGTTTCTTGGTGTTTTTTCAGCTACATTCCCATCCTCCGCAGCAAGGAACATACTTTCTTTTCTTGAGGAACGAGTCTTGAGTGACCCCTCGCCTATCGAGGACCTGCTAAATTCTTCAAACCTCAAGGATATTGCCTCCAGTGCTGTTGCTGCAGACCTCATGGATCTGTCTCTACCATACTTTGATAGTTTCCCCATGACTGAGGAGGAGATACGGAGGGCTAAGGCTTTAAAAAAGAAAGCCGAAGATGCCCAACCCTTGGTCGTTATTAGGTCTACCGAGGGTGAGGTGGAGGCTGAGGAACCACCAATGAAGAAATCTCGCCTCAACCCCCCATCCTCTGGCAAGGGCAAGGTCCCTTCTAAAAGCAGAGGGAAAAAGGCTG